CATGGCTCACCTCTGAAATGAATGCCATCTTAATTAAAGGAACAGTTCAACATATTGGGGAATACTCCTGTTGGTAAGTAATTAATGTCACTGTGTGTCACTTGTTCAACGTGCAAACACCAAAGTGGAAAACTGACAAGCTTATTTTTTTACACTTGGGTTTTTATAGATTAAACAAACAAGATATGATGTGTTAATTTGTGTGTTGTCAGATTAACTGCAAGGCAGGTTTTGTGATCTTAGCACAGAGCCCATTTAACTATTCCCATTTCCACTCTTTATGCTAGGCTAAGCTAACCAGATGCTGGGGGTGATTTCATATTTAAGAAACATCTAACTTTAAGCATGAAAGAAAATAATCCTACTGCCCAAAATGTCCACCTATGGCTTTAAATCTTGTCATATATTTTTTTATCATGTTACAAAAGAAGCTGTTTTAATGACTACACTACCCTTTGTTAAGTCATTTCAACAGTAGAATTACGCATGTAGCCGTCATTCTTCCAACCTCTGTCCATCGCACATAGCTACCCAATGCCATCTTAAAATAATAAAACACTATTTCATAAACTGAAACGTGACTGTTATTATATGACATAATATGGATTGCAATTAAAGTTCAGTTCTATCCTTCAATTGAAAAAAAGACAAAAAAATAAATGAACACCCATAAAATTAAAAATGCCTTATATGTCACATCAAATTTATATGACTTCACTGCTTTTTGAAGTACTGTGTATCTTTAATTGCTACCTCACTGTGTAGTAAAAGACTGACATAACCAGACAAGCAACTAATTAAGTGATCACATATCAATGCCCTGTAATTGATATTGAGGTAGTATCCGCATTCAAATCATTTGCTCCTGTTCCACCTCACCAACCTATTTAAACTGGATCAACGGATCACAAAGGAAGTTGTCAAAATGCCATTTATAAGTGTAATAATGAAAAGAGCAAACTGGCACTCCCTTTTGACAGACAATGGAATCGAGACATTTCTCTGCCAATCCAAATAAAAAGGACTCACCTTTACAAACTCCACAGTGAGCTTGCCGTTGAAAGTGGACACCTCTCCTTGCACACTCAGCTTGCCACGTCTAATAGAGAAGGGCACTATCTCATCGTGAGCGGTGCTGTGACCCACTCGCTCAAAGATATCCAGGTCCTTCACCACCGTATGGCCGTTTAGACGGACATCAAACACCTGGAGAAAAGTATTCCCAAATCACTAATGATTAACAGCTAACACACACACACACACACACACACACACACACACACAGAGCCCAACATTCATAGTGCCATTAATAGAGAAATTAAGTGAAATGACATGTCCTTTATACCGCATGTGAACTGGAGAAAGGAAAGTACATTGGCACATGGAAAGTTTTTTGAGGACACATTTTCAAAACGTGCAGATTTCTCAAATATACTGTACACACTACACTACATTATCTCTGATTCATTGATTGCCGTACCTTTTGCTGTGACTGGGCGAAGTAAACTTCTGCATACTTCATAACAAGTATATAGTCTCCTTCCTCACGAATGGGGATATCATATCCAAAAGTGTCCTCATTGTAACGCTCTGTCTGATACAGAATCTGGTCCTCTGGACTGGAGCGCAGTATTGGCAGACGCACCCCATAATCAGATGCTACAAAAAAGGAGAATAGCACCAGGTTCAGTGTGCACTTTGCTCACAAGAGCACATTAATAGCTGCATTACTGGAAAACCGATCATGTTTTAAGTCAAGCAAAGCACCATGCTGCGCAAGCCCTGACCTTTTCCTGCACTCAATGAAATACAGTGGCCTTCTGTCTCAAATGGCAAGTTACCACACTGTGTTCATTCCAACTTGTAATTACAGTAGCATTGCCTCATAACGGGGGCCAAGAATGACTCTCCACAGTCAATTCGATCATATCATCACCTGCTTCCTCTCCATGCTGAGAGGGGCGGAGCTGTAGTCCTCAGTGCTGACTCCTCATTAGTTTGTGGTTACTTGCGGAAGACAGCTCATGCAGAGGTCTATGCTAGACATTTCCCTTACTCTGAGGAACAGATTTCACCCTCACAATGTCATTCTCAGCAACACCTCACAGGTGAAGTGCAGCAACACACGCAGACTCATGTAAGCAGATAACTGCTGTTAATATCGACTCACCTTTGCCAAGTTTCCCTTCCAATGGGTCCTTTTTGAAGTGTATCCCGTGCACGTCCACATGCGATTCACCCCCGGCATTTACAGCCCAGATAACCCGTTCCGCTAAGCTGAGGCCCCCGCCGTCCGCCCAACACTGCTCTGCCAGAAGCGACAGCACCGCTGCAACCAGCCCGGCGATGAGCTGCGCCGTGACCCGCTGCATTGCCACACACAGCCCGGTCCTACACACACAGACAGACACACACAGGCAGACAGACAGACAGGGTCGGTATCTGCTCGCTTGAAGCACACTTTCAGTTGCTGTACGGAAGTAACCCTTCCACATATAACACTAACCACATAAGGTTAGCTAGCGCAAGGAGCTAACCAGCTTGTCTTGATGACATGCAACATGATATCTGAGTTAGCCAGCATGCTAACGTTAACAGTACCAAATACCGGTGTCGTAGCATTAGCACAAGATCAAACAGAGACCCATTAAACAACAATAAAATTATAAACAAGTATCCTAGCTTTAAGTTAACAAAGCCGCGATACACTACCTCAGTATTAATCAAACAAACCAGGAAGATAACGAGAAATTAGCAGCGAGTAACGTTGGTCGGTTAGGCTAGCTAACGTTAGCTAACCTACCTGTCTAACCAGAAATACTAGGTCTATGAGAACCCGGCTAATGCAAATGTCTCTTACCTTCCCCTTCCACAAATGTCTTGAACTTGTCTTTTGCCAATGTGTAAGATTATCTCTGCTAATACGGTGTCACCAGGTGCATACACAGTGTAGGATAACTTTACGGTGGGCAGATATTCTCAGTTGCTGATGGCATCAGCCTGCTTCACTGACTTTCATTCAATGTGTGCATCCAAACTAACATTTGCTCTGCTAGCTACAGCGGCTGCTGCCAGTTTGCAGGAGGCGGGGCAGCGCTTCCACCTAACCTTAGATTTCCCATGACTTATGAATGACGGATACTCTGTCGAATCACATCCTCCTGTTCAGATTTCCTCAACCAGTGAACACCATTTCACATCACAGCCCAATCACATCCCACTTTGTTGTAACGATGTACAAATGACGGCTGTGAATGCATTCATCAAGAATATCATAGGTCATAACTCTTGAGGGGTGTAAAAGTGTGTGCCCATATTGTAACCGTGATTGACAGAAGACTGAAGCCGTGTCTTTTTCCACGTCAAGGGGGATTTTGTGAATTTCAAGCCCTGAGTTTTTCCTCTCAGGCTGCATTCTCAATTTGTGCACACACCCCCTACTAAGACGTTAATAATCTATAACCAGGAAGTTTACCATTTACACTGTGGGTCTAGTTCAATTATACATTAAAGGAAGTGCATACAGGGCTTAATCCAGGACGAGAAACTCACTCAACTGAAATGAAACCATCAATGTGCTACAAAGAGGAGCGTTTTACTATGTTACAGTACTGTTCCTGCACTTCCACTATATTATACTATTGTAACAAAGTGATTTCTTTTGCACACGTTAATCATCAATCACTCCAAACCCACAAGATGGTATAACCAGAGTCCAGTTACCAGCTCTACCCACACTGTCAGCCAAAGGTAAAATATCTTCAGTATTATATTTCCAACACTTTTATTTGAGGGACTGACCGTAGATATGTTTTTAAATATAGAAATATTACACGTGTTCTTTAAGAAATCTTCACGCCCCCCTCCTTCCGGTATGGTATGGTCCGAGTCTTGTCCAATCATAAGAGCCCAACGCAGCGCGCACACGGAGCGCTCTACAGTTGACCAGAAAGGAATGAATGAAGATAGGCCTAGTTGCTATAGCAACAGCAATACCTCTATGGATGACAGGTGTTTCATGAAGGGTTTTTTTTTTTTAACCCAACACCGCGTTGGTAAACATACTATGAGACGCCATCTATCCTTAAAAGGAAGCACACAGCCCTGATTAGTTAAATTGTTTGCTACAATGCCATAGATTTTATCAGTAAACTTTAAGGCTATAATAAACTCCTTCAAAGTCTTAATGTTTCCACAAAGTATTTTACACAAGCTTATGTGCAAATATTTGCTGGCAGCTTGTTGGTGCTGCTTGCAACTATGTTCTCCAGAAGACAAGTGGCCCAGAGGCAGCATGTAATAGTGCAGTTTTATCGTGGGTGTTGCTGCGCCTGCAACAATCTCCTCTATTCTTTCTGGCTGAAAAACTAATTCTTGCACTGAGCATTTTGATGTTATGTTAATGTGTAATATGTTATGTTTAGTGTTACCAAATAGTTTCAGCTGGAGCATAACAGTGAAAAAAAATAACTTCAGTTGCTTGGTATATATAATAAGCATGTAAATATTGTCTGTCACTGCCTCCCAAATAAAGCAAGGCATCTCTTAAGGATAGGTCTCCTGCATACTGTGTAACTATCTAGGAATATGTTATAACTAATAAATATATTTGTAGTACCTCGTAAAAAATAAAGCAAACTTAGTTATGGGTCACACAGGGACACAGCACAGTTAAAGTTATTTTTAGTGTTGACTTGCACAGTGATGGTTCTGCAGTGTTTCTGCAGGTAAAGCTCATCCAGTCAGCAGTCTTACCAGAGATGTGTATGAATAATAGATATTATGAGGAGGTTTGTCCTCAAGACATGCAGTGACAGCATACAGTGCTGTACTAATATACTGATGAAAACATATTGACATAAGCCTTATAGACAAACTGTAGGATTAAGAAATTCAGCATGGAATTAGAGGTCCCTATACCAAAATAAGCTGTTGTCAGCATGCACCCCTGTTTTCTTTGGCAACATCAACACAGAAAAAGAGGCTCAAATGTAAACACCTTTTATTTTTCTACAGTTAACTTGGCAAAACATTTTGTTTAATTTGTTAGACAAAAAATGTAAATGTGCATACTGAATTTAATAAATTTTTCTCTTTGGCATGCATAAAAATTGCTTGAACAAGACAGATGTGTGGAACATTACCACAACTACAATCATATTGACATTGACATACAGTACAGGTACAACATAGTCACATCCACCGTAAATACAGTTCATATGTCATTCCTTCTATATTATCTTAGACAGGGCAATATGAATTTTTAAAACCAGACATTACTTGTTCCTAAAGCAAGCTTAAGGACTTCGGACCTGTGAGTATTGAAAGACATAGCATATAATGCTGCAAACCAAGAGCTGTGCGTCCTTGTAAATGGTGTTTCCACTGCCCTTGATCTAAGACCGTAGTGAATAACATATGAAATGTGTCAGAGTTCTGTTTCTCATTAATATCAGAGATCTGCTTCTTGGTTGCATGTAGTTGTCAGACAGTGATGCTTTTACAGGACTCGACTGGCACAGTGAAAAGTCACAGATGGTCACACAGTTACAATACAGGTGTTATATTGCCACATGGGTTCCTGGTTGGAGCACCAATGTCACAGGACAAGGACATTCCACTTACAATCTCTAATATAACACATACTGTGTGGAGACATACTGAAATGTTTAACAGTGTACTGATCTTAACATCTTATCTCCAGGCATTCACTCTCTCACACCGACTTAGTTGTACATTGAAGGCGACATTTTGCGACTCTTATTTTTACCATGTAGAGAATGAGACAAGACACCAGCAATCTATCCACACAGGAAGTTATTTAGTGAGAATTAAAGTGCAAAAACATAAGTTGGACAATCATCAGCTAGGCTACAGCAAATTCTGCCTCAGTTGAACTGGAGACTTTTCAGGAAGAACACTTATTGATTGAAAGTGTGAGGTGATTCCTCGCTCCCTAACATTCGAGGAGTTTTGATTCCAGTGTCATTCAGATTTTCGATGGCTCAGAGATCTTAGCTTGTCCTCTGGTGTACTTGGTCAAGTATAGAGACGGACACAGCTTCACATTCAGGACCGATCATTTTATGATCTTAGCGAGACATCATTCGTACAAACTCTGTGAAGAGATGGGGATAATGACAAAATGCAACATTGCACTAAACTTTACAGCATACCTTAAAGGCACAGGTCACCCCAGAATCCCAAACATATATCTTTCCTCTTACCTGTAGTGCTATTTACCAGTTTAATTAGTTTTGGTGTGACTTGCTGTTGGAGATATCGGCCGTACAGATGTCTGCCTTCTCCTCCTGTGACCCTGCGTCCTCCTATGAGGATAATACATTTTGGGTTTCCTGCACGTTATACTTCATTCTCCCTATTTTAGACCTGTTTTTCTTGTTTGTGGACACTTTTATGGGCCATCTAGCGGTAGTAAGACCACAATACAGTAATTCATTGTAAAAAAAGATGGCAGCCAACTCTGCTAAGTCAGATACCTTTCTTTAAGGTACAAAACCTGATCTAATTTTATGGTTGAAACTTGTATGCTTAATAGCATTTGTAGTTTGATATTGGATACAAATTTGACCAAGCTAAGACACTGTTAATTAGGAGTACTCATTGAGGACACCAGGACTCTATTATTGTATTATCACAGTGTGACCAATTATGTTTGACAGACTGTTCCTACAGAAAAAAAGGACATTCATAGCTTGGAGTACAGAGAGAGGAAAATTAATCCAGAATTACAAACTGAACAAATCACAAGGCTTTTAGATATGTTGCATTATTTGCTACTTCGTTTTGCACAGTCATGTTCAGGCATTGAAATGAATAGTTTTGGAAAGTTTTAGACTTGAGTGACCCCTAAGCTAAACAACACTGAGCAAATGTTTGTCATTTTTTGAAAACCACTTACTGTTCAAAGATGATGCACAAGTTTCATACTTACCTGGTCCTACTAATCCCATATACTAAGCAGAAATTAAAAATGCAAACCAAACAAATGCTCTCAGGTGGATAATGGAACTAGATGGTACTCGGCGTGCGGTGCTCAAGCACAAAAAAAGCAACTGTGAGCAGTTTCATATAGGAAGTATTTTGTCTACTGAACTACACCCACCAGCCGTGTCACTGCGCATAAATAAAGTATGCATCTACAGTACTGCTAGCTCCCCTAGCACCACTAAGCTAGCTAATATTACAGCTAAGCCATGGAGGATTAATGTTTACATCTTGCGTTGTCAAGAGCATGAGCCTCTCGTCCAGTACCCTAGTAGATGCATGCTTCCCTTTGTGTGGGTAGACAAAAATACTTCCTTCATGAAACTGCTCACAACAAGGTCTGTGGATTACCTTGAGTAACCACATCATGATTTCTAGAAAGAATAATTGCTGTTGAGTATGTGAAATTTATTTTTTGGCACTTAGAGCCCCACAAGCCGAGTGCCACCTAGGTCATCATATTCAAGACAAGGCAGACATCTCTACAGCTTATATCTCCAACACTCAGTAACGCACACCAAACTAATTTTGATAAATAGCACCACACGTAAGAAGAAAAATATGTATTTCTGATTTAGGGGTGAACGGTGCCTTTAAATGAATAGTTTGTAAAGGTGATTTACCTTCAAAGTCAACAAGCCCATCACCATTCAGGTCAACATCCCTCAGGATATCTTCGACTTCCTTTAAACCCACCTGGAACAAAGGTCAGCAACAGTTAGTGGAGCACCACACACAGTGAGTATTCTTACAAGAATGGTTCAGAGACTCCCTGATGTCTCTCTCTCTGATCCAAGTGTTACCTGTTGGCCCAACAACTTCCTCATTGCATCTCGGAGCTCTGATGTGCTTATGGCACCGTCTCCATTAGTGTCAAACTGAGAACAAAAAGCAGATATACAACATTAAAAATGGAGAAGTAAATACAAAAAAATTCACAACACAACCAACGCTACTGAAAGCGTTATATAAATGTTAATCCAGAAACTCTTACCTCTCGAAAAGCATCTTTTAACTCTTTTATTCCAATCATGTCTGCAGTTTCGGCGAGGAGTTTTGGGCCCATCAACTCTACAAAATCCTCAAAATCAACATGACCTCCCACTTAAGAAAAAGAGATTTTGGCACAGTATTTCAAACCACAACACATACAGGGCACAACTATTAGCATGATACATGAATAATAAGTTCGGTCCTTACAGTTCATGTTTATCTGTTGACTCAGCTCAATCAGCTCCATTTCAGTGGGCATGTATCCCATAGTTCTCATACAGTTTCCAAGGTCTTTACAGCTGATGAAACCGTCCTTGTCTTTGTCGAACTCTTTGAAAGCGTCCCGTAACTCTGTTGAGCAACAACAGAAACATTATTTGCAATTGAATTCTGTCACCGCATGTTAAAACTCATCCTTCTATTCATTTAATTTGACTTTTATATTTGCTCTGTATATCATTGTTTACATTTGTTTGACTGCTTAGTGTCAGTAAAGAAAGAGGGAACATTGAAGAGAAACTTACCATCCATTTCTTCTGGCCGCAGCTCTCTGTCCTATAAGAAATGATATTTAATCACCGGTCAGTACAAAACTATAAGCAGTCATTATGACCTCACATCAAAACAAACACAACTCGTCTGTGTGTGAGCTACCTCCAAACATACCGCTGACAGCGCTGTGACTTGAGTGATGCCCAAATCTAAATCAGAAATCTCCTCCATAACAACCCTCAGCCTTCTTGTGAACCTCAACTTAAGGATGCCTAACGGGAAAGGATGTTAACAGTAGACTGAAACTATCTCACATCTTGATGACAAAACCTCCAAGTATAAGTAGGCCGATCCCTATGAAGCATGACTGGGAAACATAACCCTCCGAGTTCACAGAAGAATGTGGCTGTTTCTATTTTTTTTTCCAGTGGTTGCTTACAATGAACACAACCTTTAAAGGGCAGGGAGAGAGGCAGACATATCCCAGAGCCCTCAGGGGTTAACAGCAGGAGCAGTGAGAAGTCTAAACACAACACTGTGTGCTGACGTCAGGCCCAAAAAACTGGCTGACCGGAACCACTGACGTAGAGAGAGTATTTCCAACATGTGTGCTCCATTAGCGCTTCAATTTGCCAATCCATCAGTGTCAGTTCATCAACCATCGCATGTACACTGACATGTCCCAGGCCTCATCAATCTACTCACATGACTGTGCAGTAACCTCCATTGAAAGTACAATCATGCAATTCACCTGCCATCACTGCACACAGATTGAACAAACCATATAAGAGTGTATAGAAAATAAATGAGCTCTGGACTGTGCAGATACAGTTATAACCGAGAAACAGGAAGACATGCTTAACTGCTTTCTTGCTAAGAATCAGATAAGAACATTGATACCACTCTTATATCTGCGAGGTAAAACATGAACCATATCCAGCGGTCAGTTAGCTTAGCACAAAGAGTAGCAACAGGGGGACACAGCTTGCCTGTCTCTGTCTGAAGGTAACAAAATCCACCTACCAGCACCTCTAAAATTCACCAGTTAAAAATGAAATATTCTGTCTTGGTCTTGGGGCTAAGCTAAGCTAACTGGCTGTTGGCTCCAGCTACATATTAAACTGTCAGACATCAATCTTCTTATCTAACTCTTGGAAAAAAACCAAATAAGGCATTGCATTTATTCACAAGCTCCTAAACACTCCTGTAGTCTTTTGTGAGCTTTCAGGCTCAATCATTTTCCAAACCTGTGTGTTCCCCACTGACAGCTGGCAAGATACCAGACAAAAGCAGCAGGAGTGGAAGTAGCAGGATATATGATGGAAAGTAATTGAAAGGGTCTCAACAACTGAGCGATGACTGCTGTTGTGGCAGCTTGTTTGGCAATAATAGAAATCCTATCTAGGTTACATGTAATGCTGAAATAAATACACATAGATATAGTTTAAAAAAATAGGATGTTTGTTGAGACTTACGTACAGCCTGCCTGCACTCGGCCATGCCTTTACTCAGGAAGACACAGGTTTGCAACCGTGCGTTCCTCACGAGAATGCAGTTTTGTGTCATGGAAACAATGGACTCCTGATATGGCCCAAGATACCCTGCCTGGCCCATCTCCTCACAGGGCAGCACCCCTCCGAATCTCCTCTCAGCATCCTGGAGTATCTTCCCAGAGGGGTGCAGAGACAGTGTTAGAGATCTGTGGCAACTTCAGAGCAGAATGCAATAAAGATATAAGTTGAAAGACGATATATGAGTCAATGTAGACTCTATACTCTTGAATTGGGGCAATAGATTAAATGCTAAAACAGAAGTTTACTCCTCTGTAAAAGTATTCTGTGTGTGTATGTATGAGAGAGAAACAATGTTTAAAATATGAAAACATGGCAAAGAGGCAAAATGCATCAATAACACAGCATGTTGCCAACTTTCCACTCATCGTTCATAACAGTTTACTTGCCACGTTGTAGGGACTGGCACCTCACACCTATACACTGTCACAGGAACAGTAAACATACTCAGAAGCAGAGAAAAGACTAAAGCTCCGGGGAACAGGCTACATATGATGTGATCACAAAAGACATTTGGACACATTTTCTTCTGTGAGACATGCAGTACTTTTTTAGAACATAGTTCCTGTTACACAATAAAAGTCTGAAAAAATCTGGAACCATTAATCTAACATGTTTAACAAAATGCACCCAAGAGCCAACAACAAGCAGCGCAGTTTCATAATGAGTTTCAATTCATAAAGTCCTTCCCACCACCAACATTAATTAGTGTGGACATTAAGACTCCTAACTCCAAACTCTAGAACAATTATGATAATGATCGTAACAGCATGTCCCACAAAAACATAATACGGATCCCAGGTAGCCAGTGTTGGCTGACTACTCTGTTCCAGCCCCAGGGGACCAAATGTGAGCCAGCTTTGGCCTCTTTAAGTTTCCCAAATCTGGCCCAGATTTAACTGTTACAGAAACAGGCCTGTTCTGGCTGAGACATGGCACTAAAACAAGTTCTGGCCCAATGATGGCTGCCAAATCTGGGCTCAGTTGTGCATAGTAGACACAGGGTTATGTTGGCTGAGACATGGCTGCTGGACAAAACTGTGACGAGCACTAGAACAGGTTCTGGCCCATTGATGGCCCAAAATCTGGGCTCAATTGGGCATTGTAGACTAGGGGCCTATACTGGCTGAGACACAGTTGCAGGACAAAACTGCACCCAGCACCAAAATGGGTTCTGGCCCATTGATGGCTTCAAATCTGCGCCTAACTGGGCATTGTAGATGCAGGCCTATCCAAGCTGAGACTGGCAAACATAGTATGAATATTTTATTGTAGCTTTGCTATGTGTATTTTCTGCATTCTACATTTTGTTACACAGCCAGTCTTTAAAGAAGTATGTTGGAATGGTAAGCCTTTATTGGCGTACAGTAATAATCTAAACACTGGCTATGAAAAGATCATAATGTAGCCTGATAATAACAATGAGTGTATAACAGTGTTGCACATACTATACTAACATTATAAAAAATGATTAAATCATTAAGTCAGAAAAAAACCATTTAGATGAATATAATAGTGTCATAATAAAAAACAGAGGATTGCCCTTTAAGAGCATAGGAACCTCTCTGGTGTTTAATTTTGTACATCATGAAAAATACACATACAGATAAATATATTTGTAAGTATTCTGGGGGTTTTGCAATAAGATGACTGATTTACTCAGCATCCATGCTTGAGTTCGAGCAGAGAAGAAGAACAAATGCAACTGCACACAACAATAGAGAATTTCTAAGAATACTACTGTCAAGTGTCATTTACAAGTTTCACTTTCAAAATACGCCCAACAAAGTGAGGAAGACAGGGTGCATCAGAGTGAAAACATTCCTACCGTTCTCAGAGGCCAGTCTAAGCAGTTTCCCATACCAGAAGAGAAAAGAGGCACTAAAAAGGACCATGAGGACCTTTTCTCCGTTAAGTTTGCAGTTCGGATTTTGAGAGGAGTGCGAACAAGAGCAAGACCCATGAAGACTCGGATGCTAACCTACAGCTGGTTGAAAAAACAGTGAACTGTACTCCACTGCACTGTCTGGAGTAAACAAATGTAGCAACAGACAGCCAGTGACACAGTAAGAGAGAAAGAGAGGGAGTGAAGAGTGAGGAGCAAGGGCGAGGAGCTAAATGAGAGAGGGACGAGGGCCAAGGGGGGAAACAGAATTATGCCTATTAAAGGAAAAGAAGGTGATCCACTGTCTGCGAGATATTTAGCCAACTGTAACACTGACCAAACTGTTACAGCTATTCTGTGAACCACGCAGACACTTTAAACATGGGATCACAGGCATCAACCATGAGAATAAACAAGAAAAATGTTACAAGCGGTGTCAGCTTTCCTGCAGGGAAAACATAGTATCGCAAGCAAGTGACCTTTGCTTCAGGATCACACACATATTGTGAGGTGTTTGCTCTTTCTAGGCTGTGAAAATCAGAAGCAGGCAAGTTTACAAGAACACTCGGTAATGACCTATTTACAGTCTCCTCACCTGCGCTCTCACTCTCAAGTGCGAGACCTCAACATTGCATTTAAATTCATGTATTCCACTTTCTGCACGTGCCTTTGTTTTTCTTGGCTTATACACCCCCACACATCATCCTCTGCCCTCTGCAGGCAAAGACAAGGTCACTCTGTCCTACAGCCACCACATGGCACCAAAGAGAAACACATGAAGACCATGACTGTGTGAGGAATACAGTTACAGTATGGTCCATCTGTTACAGTGAAATGTACATCCGTAGAAAATCAGAAATCAGCTAACTAGTGAGGTAATACCTTACTCTGCACAGAACAATAGTGAGGATATGGGTTTCTTTGTAAAAGGTTTCAAACAATTCACATCCCCGATCACCATCTGTTCACGTGTATCCCAATCCTGTCTTGCTGAAACGCTAAAAATGCACTTAACTTTGAATGCATTGTTCAGACAAAACTCCAAAGATAGCGTGTGTCTCTCAAACCATGCATTACATCTCTGCCCGTCACTGAACTCCTCTCCATCTAGCTGTCTCATCAAAGACCTTTTTGAGGTCACGCTAATGTTTTCACAGAGCTGCTCGCAGACTGACTCATGGGTTATTTGCAGAATAGGCTTTCACACTGTAACTATTAGAAGATTTTTCTCCTGAAAGCCACACAATGGATGATCTCCATGTTCCCATGCTGAGTCTATTTCACGGTTTGCAGCTTCCTAATTCAAATCACCTCCTGATCCATGATCAGATTAAAACCCAAACACCCTACATGGCGAGAACTAAACTCTGAGTTCTGAGGAAGAGATGCCATCAATAAACAACATGTAATCAGGAGTTTAAGCAGCGAGGTGGAGCTTTGTGAGAATGTAAAACTAAAACTAGTTGCTTTGACAGACTTTAGCTCGGTGAGCCAAAATTATGCAAAATCACACCACTGCTAGGGATCCAAGCATATTAAACTAAGCTTTTTTCTTCTGTGTCAAAGGCTGAAAATAGAGCCTTCATCACCAACAGGAACATCAAAGTGATTTCCTTCAAACACAACAATCACTGCAGTGTTCCTGATTAAATGATGCAGGAATATAAATATATATCTTTTATCTTTGACCAAATACACATTAGCACATCAGAGATTTCCACCTCTCCATGCTAGTACATCTCATCTGCCCCAGCACATCCACTTCAATAAGAAAGGTCTGCCTGATTGAGAGGGTCTGTAGGAGGTAGTGCCGTATTTACAAATTACATAAGAAATGGATGTGTAGAAGAAGCTCTTCCCCGTCCAGTCTGTCCAGTAATGACTGTGTTTGCGGACTGCATCACAGAGCACATTAGCGTATATGGATTGTAAACAGGGCGTCAGTGTAGCCAGAAGCAACACTTAACCACTTCATATCGGTGTGCACTTTTGTGGAAATATGAATAACAAAGCACTATTTTGTGCGTGGCAAGAATGTAATGCAGTTTATTTTTAGATGAAGCTCACAGTACTAGAGACATCAATGTGGTGTCATCCATACAAATTGATTTATAAAGCCAAATTATTTTTTAGAAGCTTTACCAATTGGCTTTTACATAAATTAGGATTTAGGTTTGGGGTGTCACTGTCAGAGCGTGTCAGGGCCCCAAGATCGCTAGGAGCGTCCCTGCTTCACACACAATAACTCCTAAATTTAATGTATCCTGTGGAGGTGATTCAATTTAAACAAAATGTGTAAAACAACTGACTGATCCCAGTATTTCAGGGCCTTACCTGCCCAAACAGTGAATTGAGGATCGTGCGTAAATTGATATCAGATGCAGAAGAAGCAGCACTAGACCTCCGGGAGCGGCGAGAGGATCTGCTGGACAGCGGGACCAGGGAGCAGGAGGACGGGGATGGACTGCTGACATGACCCCCGCTGTTCGCCACACTGACCCCTTTATGGTCCTTCGGCTCACAGAGGGGAGCCCTGTCATCGTTGCTGTCCGACAGAGAGGGCACCCTGGGGACCGGGCGTGCGTGCGTGTGACAGCGACGGGGATGCTCAGGTTCAGGTGGTCCCGCTGCCGCTGGACGGTCCTCCCGGTTGTGCTTCCTGCGGTGGTGGTGCCGGTGTGTGGGCTTGGATGTCCTGCAGCGCTCCCTCACACCTCGGCCCGCCTCGCCGTTTGGCTCCGGCGGGTCCGGAACTTGGCTGTGGGGGGCATGTGACTTACTCTTGCCTCGAGTGGCTGCATCATTACTACTGTCCTGGCTGCCGATGAGGGACGGGTGACACAGGGGTCTCCGGGCACTGATGTCGCACTCGGCCGACCAGAAGGACTCCTCGGCTTTGCTGCTGCTGCTCTGGAGTGCAGCGGGACGGTGGTGATGCTGGTGCTGATGCTGATGGTGATGCTGACTTCTCCGGCTTTCTGCTGTGCGTTCGGGGAGGTGTGTGGGTCTCTTCGCCGCAGAGGATGATTTCAGTAAGGAGGTCGTGGATTCAGATTTTGGAAAGGAGGAGCTCATTGCTGCGGATCTGGTCTAGTCTGTCTCGGTGGGTTGATCATCGACATCATACACCGTTTTCTCTCCATGGTCGACCCATAATAGCATAGCAGAGGCTGCCCGCGGTAAGTTAGGCTACATTTCACCACCTGATGGCTGTGCGGCAGCGCGGCCGGAGCGCGCGCAGACTGCTCAGCAGAGGGGCACACACGTCGCTGCAGAGCGCGTCACCTTTTCATTGATGTGGATGCTGGTCTCTGGCATCGTGGCAGTGACGTGGGCGTGGACGGTAGTAAGATACACCAGTGGTCAGCAAACTTTTCCATGACAAAGACAGACCAAACATAAACAACCATTACACCACCCAAACACAGAAAATGATGCAAATATCCCTCATAAAATGACATGGAGTGATCCACAATAAGCAAAATTAAACCCACAAAAATGACTTATCATTCTTGGTCTGGACATAACTTCAAAATAATGAAATCTAATATGCTACAGTCCCTGCAACAATAAATAGGCTACATTTGAGAAGCTGATTTTTGTTTGGACAGTGGCAGCAAAGTGTTAATTCAGCTCCATTTTATTTTTGTCTTGGTTAGTGGTGTTGTATAAGGCTGTACTTTTAACAGTGCTTCTGTGCTTTTGTCCTCCTAGTGGACAAAATGTCACTGACACCATACTATTGTGTTTTAAGCAGGGCTAGATTAACCTGCTATGGGGCCTCAGGGCAAACCTGAGCCATGGGTCCCCATTGAGGCCCCCTACACAAACCAGCCAGTAATTCTACACTGAAATACTACAGTCATGCACCAGGTTTGCAGAGTTAGTTCATGGTGAATTGAATACAAAGCCTACATTTTTTTTAGAAGGTATGCTATGCAGAATTGTTCGTTAACATTCACTCTTGTTTGGAGTTTTGCCATATTTACATGTTTTTCCCAGCACTGTGTGTCTTGGATGCCTGCTGCTGAAGGGTCTGGCACCTGGTTGCTACTATTTTATAAAGCCCCGACCTCACCTGAGCACTCTGGGAGTACACGTCAACACATTCTCACTCCGACCTCGTCAAATATTGATCATGGACTTTCCACATCCCTTGGTGCACTGGTTGTTGACCTTCTGGGACACTGTGTCAAGTTCTGCCTGTTACATGCATTGTCTTCTTTCAAAATACACTTCCGTTTTCACAGGAAATTTAACTTTTACATACAGTCTCTTTCAAAATAAACGCACAACATCGGTACAACACCACAAATTGACATATTTTTTCCCTTCAACAACAAACACATGGTTGGGTTTAGGCAACAAAAGCACATACTTAGGTTTAGGAAAAAGGAAAAAGATTTGCCTTCAGAAACTTACGGGACATGAACACCGCTCTCTCGGGCGAAAGTCTGTGTTTGTTGGACCCATCCACCACCCCTCCTGCCCGCCCCAGTCAGACTTTCGCTGCTTTAACTTTGGTCCTTGTCCCGTTGTGTTCCCCCCTGATGCCACCGGGCACCGTTAAACTGTAACAGCAATCAGCCGGGTATCATGCCGACGTTAATGTATGCCTTTTTTCTCACTGGTTTCTAACGCTGCAAGTCAATGCCCAAGTGCCGGATTTCGATGACTTCAGAGTGAAACCCAGCTCTACACGCCCAATCAATTCTGTAATTGATCAAATTACCATTAAATAATTGCCACACTAATCTTTTTAAGCTTCATCATTTGTTGTATGGCTGTTTTGTTTCATAACACTTCCCATGTGTTGTATGTACATTCACTAGTTGTACTGTGTGTCTGCATTTGCATGAAATTAAAGTCAAATGAAATTATTCACTTTGTCAGGGGCACTTAGGGCCCCATCAGCTACACCTAGAGGTCCCTGGACTCCACTACAGCTAATCATCCCACTGGCTTATAAAAGACACATTATTACATTCCTGCAGCCATGTGCATGTCTTATTATTAAATTCTAAATTGCTCAAAGGATAATCCCTGTGCATACACATGCTACATTATCCTGCTCTCTCTCTAAAACACACACTGAGCATTACACTGGTGTAATTAGCACACTGAGCAGTATTGCAGCAGTAACTACTATAGCCTACTTTAAAAATTCAAGAACTTTGAGACTGAAACAAAACAAGTCTGTATAAAACATGCTACTTATAAATACAAGCACTAAGGGCTTTCTAAATTAATTACATTGTAACTGGCATCAGCCTCACATAAGCATTTTCGCCGTCCACCAAAGCTACAGCAACACCTGTCCACCTTTGGAGAAACTCAAATGTGATCAGAAGAGGTGGCACCGATTTGTGTTGGCAATCTTTTTCCTCGACTGTAGAAGCAGATGTACGGCCAGATATCAACCCCTATATATATATTCTTTTTGAACCCATAAACATGACACTTAAGAGTAATGGAGACCATACTGCTTTTATTTAAAATGATGTTATTATTGCCTCAGCATTTCAGTGCTTCTGGCTTCATATCCTCCATAGGCAGTGCAGGTCTGACGAGAAAGAACTGCTGAGGAAACAGAGCAACAGGCACATCATTGCATGCCTACGCCTCCCTGTGCCACGATTATAAAACTGCATCTGGCTGAAAAGAGGCAACACTGTCTATTTTGTCCCTTTGCTTTATGTTGCAGAGTGTACCCTCAATACCAGGGTGGCATTTCTGCAGAGGATTTCATCCCTCTCTACCACTGAGCTTCTGCAGTATGTTTTAATCAGTGTTTGAGATGTAGTGTAACAGTAGTAGTTCAACTGATGAAATGGCTGATTCAGCAGAATGGACTAAAGAGCATGCATACAGTGTGAGGTCTACCTTTTATGACAACTGTGCAAAAGTGACACCTCTGACAACAGCTGGTTAAATAAGATACTCGACCATTTATTAAATGTACAGAAATACTGTTCAAAATCCACACAAGAATGTGTTAAAGGACAAATCCTTAATCCTAATGTAAACAAAATGGTTGCCCCATCATATACTGTATATGTAAAGCAAATGCTTCGGGAATGATAGTTTTCATAAGTGGATTAACAGCACTCTTGATTTTAAACCTAATCATGGACAGCTCAATGTGAGTGTCGGTGTTGTCAGATGTTGTAAACAGCTTGTAAATCATTCTGTAAACATTACAATAGAATAGATGGGTATCTTGAATTGCGATGGACCTGTAAAGCTGCTGAAGATTAATTGTCACTACCTTTTGTGCACATATATCCATGAAGTGCTGTCGAAGAGTTAGGGATTGTGGCTTTCGTAATGGAAGCCATATGGTACGGCAAAAGTTACAGTGATTCAAAATAAATACGTCACAGAACAACAAAGATAGTACTTCATAAACATTTTACAGAATCTACAAATTGAATCTATCAAAATGATTTCATGGTTGGCCTTGTTGAGAAAGGAAAACGAGATGCAATCGCTGTAGCTGCAAATCAAGACAACACAATAGTTAAAGCGTTGAAGACACTCATCTCAAATCATCCCAGACCATTCACTTTTGTTTTGCTTTTTTTTAACCTCAACCCTATTTACAGAAATACAAACCTGATATCAAATACAACCAAATTACAAGAGTTTAGTAAATTTACCAAAAACGCTTCATCTTCAGTGTTACAGCACAGGCCGACTCACACGATTTGACCTAAAAATGTGCTTATCTAACCATGTCTTGTGAAAGCAGGATCGTTTTTTTTTTTTTTTCAAAGGGGAGCACAATAAACTACCACACCGGCAGGAGTCAGGACAGAGACATTAGCTGCGTCTGTAAACATTCATGTCATGATCAACATTGGACCTCAGTTATCATACATCTATCAAAACACATGTAGATAACAATCAGTCATTTCTCTAGTTAATGTTATCACGCTGAAAAAGCACTTTCTGCAGTTCATTCAGTTTAGATATCTATTAACGATTGCCTGTCTAGTCATAAAGCCCTATTTGTGCATCCTGTAAATAACTTAGCTAAAAGTGACATTTACAGAATGACACTGCATTTATTTATTTATCTATCGTTATTTGGTATTTATAAAGCCACAACTAGACAACTAGGCATTTTCATTATCTGGTTTGATGTGTTTATGACAAAGGTTTGACCAGCCTAAAATCATCCAGCACTGTAGCAATGATCCCGTAGCTCAGTAGCTCTCAACCAGGGGCCCGGGGACCCCGAGTGATGCTTGAGGGAGTTCCAGGGGGTCCCCAACAAAAATAGGGGAACAGTTTCTTTTTCGACTTAATTCAATATAGAAATGAGCCCAGTATGTGTAAGAATCACAAGAATGGTTTCACTTCCACCACAGTTATCACCTCAACTGTAGCTGACAACTGAAGAAATCGCCAGGAGAAGCTTGCCGAGGGTGCCTAATGTGCTAGGTCAGGCACTGCTTGACATGAAAAAGGTTGAGAACCACCGCCCTGGCTTTAGCCTCACTATAGCTGTGATTTCATATAAGTAAGCACTACAATCACTGGAAAATGTGTCACCGTTCTGCAAGCAAGAGATTTTCCACTCATTCATGAAAATTCAAACAGTCAAAAGTGTGTCCCACATTCGAAAGTGGGTGTTTTTGAAATGAGAAAAAAAAAGGTGCAAACTCACTGACAATCGTGTTTCATTTGGAATCAAAATTCATCTCAAGTGTGACTGGATGTGTTGAGTAATATAAAAAAAGTTGAATAATCACATTTCTTAGCCCTTGCTGACATGTATGTAGGTGTCACGGTAAATTTATGTGTCACAGTTAGCGTAAAGTGATACCAGCTGTACTTTACACAAAAGGTTTTGGGAAAAGTTTAGGGCCTAGCAAACTCAGTGACTCCAGGTCATGTATAGATAATAGAACAGGTTGACCTATGGACAACAAGAAGGTGACACATTGTTGATTGGCTCGCTAAGAGCCGTTCATCATATCTGTAATGTACTTTTCTTTCCACCGTTGAACTGTTTCAAGCACCCACCAAAATAAAGCTAATATGATGCTGTACAAAGAATCTTAGATAGATCATGTTGCTCCAAAACCGGCACAAATTTAGAGGGAAATGGAAATGTCAAAAGATACATTTGACGGGAACTTCTTGCTGGGCATATTTTGTCACTGTTCAGGAACATCATTCATCAATATGCAAATGCATTGACATTCAATGATTTAAAATAACAAATAATCTAAAATGTCCCTGTCATGGCGTTACTAAACGGCTGAATGAACAATCGTGCTCCTACTCAAAAACCAAGTAGGTACTTTCAAGTGTGTTAATACAACTACGCAGGCAGAAACATGAACATGATTGATAAAAGAGGCCCAATGTTTGGTCATCTGCTAAGAGGGGTTATGAGAGATACTGTATGAGACAGAGAATATGTACACAGTGAATGTGAGAGCTGGTCTGGAGGCAGAAAAAGAGTCGCTCCCCAATCCTACAGACACTTCCCTAAACGCCATCTGTCTCTTGGTCAGACATGGTTTCTCACTCACACCTATTTCCCCTCCTTGTCCTCTAAGCGGCCTGGAGTAAAAATGTAGTCCAAGGCTTGTCTCTCAGCAGCGGCCACGTTGGGATGCCAGAGGTCCACCATGAAGACCACCCTGGGGCCGTCCTCTGCGCCGCCTGCACACACACACACACACACACACACACACACACAGACATATGGCAACAACAAAAAACCAAAAGCCCAATTTTGTCATGATCTTGCCGTGAAACTGTATTATATTAAAAAAGGCTCTCTGACTTTAGTGATATTGGATTATACCACTTTTAGGTCAATCCTCCGTCTTAAAGGAATGAATAAAAAAGGACAGGGTGCAATAAAAGATTCTGTTTTAATCCCGTCTTACCCTCGTGGAAGGCCCTGTGGAGGAAGGAGTCATCAAAAAGCAGACAGCTGCCCTCAGACCAGCACTGTGGCTCTCCACCAACAACAAGCTCACAGGAGGGGGGCACTCTGAGACCTGCCAGAGAAAAATAGCAAATCCATTCATGTGTCATTATGGGAAAGCAAAGCATTTTGTGTTGCCAACCAATCTCCTAGGTAACAGCTCCCGGACAAAATGCCCTCTTCCCAGAGTGTCCTGCATTATTACAATATTCTGTTTTAAAGCATCTTATGAAAGACCCTGTCTACACAACAATAAACATCACTATTTATAGCCATCTCTCGGGGTACAGTTGGAAATAGAATCAAAGCTCAGGTGCAGAGAAAACAATAAAATCATCACATATGCCACTAAATTTCAGCCATGTGCCATCCTGACCCAGGAGGATCCAGAACACCACAGCAGCTGATTCAAACATGCTTATTTTTTTAAATCATCTGCAGTCGTGTTGAGGCGAAAACACTCTGAGCCTCAGACATCACATGGCTGAATCAGTTTCAGCTCACTTAGCAGTTCGTTCTCTTACCCAGGTGGCAGCGCAGCCTGACATTTGTTGGACCATAATGCTCAGTGATCAGAGCTCCGGGCGTCAACACAGAGAAGCAGGCGTTTCCGAACACATTGTTGGCGATGAAGGTGCGCAGCTGACCCAGCACCCTCCAGGCCCGTGGACACCTCCTGACATTAAGAACCAATGGGGTGCCTTGGTTAACCAGGTAGTAGGTCCACCACTGCCCCCGAGGAGTGTTGTTGGCTTTCCACCCTGGTGGCAGTGAGGAGCCGCTGCGGGCCGGAGGTTGGTGGTAGATGCTCTCAAACTCAGCCAGAAGGGCGGGGAAGCTCTGCTCCAGCAGCTCCACGTCGTGTCTCTGTACTTCTCTGGAGAAGAAAGGGGCTGACGGTAGGTCTGGGAGGAAGAAGACCTCTGGCCTTTGGATGGTCGGTCGGCTGTTGAGGTATCGGCCTTGATCGCGGACTCCTTTATGCACCCTGCCCATACCTGACCAGGTGTAGCGCTTGGCGTAATCCTGCAGGCTGTGATAGAGCCTCTGGTTCAAACTCTCTCCGGCGCTGGTGCATCGGAAGCATTCTGATGACTGGCAGAAAGCGAAGCCGTTCTGCTCTTCTAGCATTGAACCATGCTTCCCTTTCCCCCTGCCACGGCAGTCTGAACTCATAAAGCCTCCCACCACCCCTCCAATCCGGCTGGGCCCAGCCAGATACCTCCCACGCAGAGGGCTGGAGCCATGCTCCCTGCCCACCCTGTAACAATACCACATAAACAGCAGCAGCACACACATGGCTATGGCAAAAGCACAGATCTCGCATTCCCTTATAGACTGCATCCCTCCAGCCACCATCTCCCTCACATTCTCTAACGACCACTCCATCTCGGCTCGCTTCTGGATTGCTGAATCTGACGGTGGGGGGAAAAGTGCTGATAAAAGATCAGTTAGCACGTCTTCTCTTGATTGAAAGGGGCCTTAAACCACACACAGGGCGTTAGTGAGTCTAGTGTCAAGCAGCTCTTATCGCCCCCCCTATGGTAAACAGTCTGCTGATTCGATCTGACACACTCGCTCTTCAGTCCTAACATTTCAGCACTGTGCAACGAGGGAAGGTTTCTCCTTGCATGGTGTCTGGCTGTGCGGTATTTGTGCTGCTCCCTCTCTGGTTCTCTCAGACAAATGCAGACAGACACCGCGCCTTAGGTAAATCTGTTCTCTGAAAAACAAAGACAGAAGGAGAGAAAGAGGGGTGAGGAAAGAGGAGGATACTGTCACTGACATCAGAGGGGGAAGCTGCGATTGACATGAATGCCCCAAACTCTATTTACTGTTCATGTGTTGGCATGCAGGATGAGTTAATGTGATGCAGGTTTCACAACAAATTGCTTTGTGTCTTCCTCCTCAAGAGTTTAAGCAAATTCCTATCCTGTATGCACCACAAAACACACCTGCTGAAACTCACCCACACGCTGTGGACTTCAAAATGACTGCACCCCATACACACACACACACACACACACACACACACACACACACACACACACACACACACACAAACACTTTGAACACATTTTGGGATTCACACACTCCTGTACTGCACTGTATAAAACCATGAGTCATTGGCACATTGCTGCATTTAACACAGATCTCTCTCTTTTTATATTTTTTGCGCACCACGCACACACATGCGCGCGCACCAAACAGTGAATTATGTAAACTTAAACAGTGTTGATACCCACCCACATGTATAATTGGCATTCATAGGTTGCTCAGCAGGAGCTGCATAAATGGATCCTCGGGGGGAGGGAGGGGGCGAGATGTAGTCTGTGTAACCGTATAGGCCTTAGTATAAAAAAAAGGAGTGGATTACATGAGTATGATTATATAATGATAATGGACCAGCAGCCAAAACGCGAGGAGTGCAATGCGTCAACTGTGATCAGAACTCCACGATGCTCCCTCACCAAAAATGGTCGGGTAATCCTGCTCCAATAGATCCTCCCCTACATCCTGTCTGACAGCATCAAGACGCCCCCACATCCCCCACACACACACTCCCGCTGCTTTTAGGACAGACTGACCATCAAACCCAACCATAAAGCCACGTAAAGCACACACACTACACACACCCTGCCTTATCCCTCCACTGTTCCCATGTAATCTTAGAGCCACCAGTGCCAAGCTGCCACACAAACTGATGACCAACATACTGATGAGCAGTAACGTCCAACAAGCCGCGGAAAAAAAACAAGCAGATCGCAGTAACCCAGCTCATGTTCCCTCGCCTATGTCTACGTGGATGTTTGGTGCGTGGATTCGTGCACAGGTTTGCATCCATACCTACTCAACATTCATGACTGTGGCCAGTGGAGAGGAGAGGCGCACAGGTGTTTCTCCGGGCGAAGCTGCGCACCACTGCAGTGCACAAGGTAGACGGATATCAGTCGCCAACATTATAGGAAATATCTCCAAAATGCACAAAAGATGTCCTAACAGGAAGCGACAGCCATCGTACAGCGGAGAGAGACGAGAAAGCTGTCCCACCGACGGTTTGAGTCCCTGTCTGTCTGTGATGGACAGCAGCGTCGGGGTAGGCTTCAGACAATATTGTTGTAAATACTGAAGCTCCACCAGGGAAGCCACCCAGCGGCAAGTGACCAGAGGAATGCGCGACAGCATTTCCGGTCGGACCTTTCAAAATAAACGCTTCAATTAGACGCGTGTTAAAAGCAGTCAGCAATAAGACCTGGCACTCCAACCCAGGGGTCAGAAGGGCCATTTTTAGCTTCTTCTTTTTTTTTTAAATCAGTCTGCAATACATATTTGTGCTTTATAATTACAGCCTATTAGGTCTAACTTAGCCTATCAATATTACTAATAGTTATAAATTAGCATTCATTAATATGTTTTGGCACAAGGTGGCTACTCTGCAGGAGACTATTTGTGATTATTTTGTACCTAAACAGTGCAGCACATTTACTCAAGTACTGCAGTGAGGGAGACTCCACCACTACCTAGCCATGGCTATTTAGGTTCACTAGAATTAAGGAGAAGGGACCAGGTCATAGACGTATGATGCACACTTTAATTGATGGAATGTTGAAACTTTTTTTGTGTGTTTTTTGATGTCATAGGTTATATATTTTTACAATTGGAAAATGTAAGAATCACTTTAGGCCTACAGCAATGAAAAATTAAAATGTTAAAAAATAACTGTTATTCATATCCACATTTTTCTAAAAGCCACGTAGACCCACTGGAGAGGGGTTAAAGAGCTGCATGCGGCCCCACAGCCTCAGGTTGCCTATAGCACAACAACCTAGTCTCAGCAGCTATGCCTTCTATTTCTTCTAAAGGACTGCTTCAGCAATTTAGCCGCCTTTAAGAGACAGATTAACAAAGAAAGTCAAGCTTGAAATATGCCACATCCTGCAATTCCCATCATGTAACATGGTAACATCTTTCATTTGACCTTCCCTGCAGCGATAAAGGTCCAGTGGGTAACAGTACTTTTATTGGTATATAATTACCTGAACCTGAGAATTGCTGTGTTTTCATTTCCTTCGAATGTTTATATTTACATACGATCAGGTTCTCTTCCACAGAGGCGAATGTTTTCACAGTAGCCCAGAAAGAACAAATAAAACACTGGCCATTCAAGTTTTCACACTTCAGCCTTTGCACAAGGAAGATGTTTCAGCTGGTTGCAATCTTCACTGCTAGATGCCACAAAATCCTACACTAGACCTTAAAATGTTCTCCATCTTTAAACCCAGTGCTCTCAGTTTATGACGCAGGTTTTCTTTCAAATACAGAGTGATTTTGTCAGACTTGATAAAGCTCCACCCAAGGCCAAAGAGGACATTATAAGACTGTTGTCACATACTGAGTAATACTCCTCATGGCAAGTAAACTGACCTTTGAATGTGAGATTGGTAGTGTTCCAGTTTAGACTGATTGTGTCAACAGGACAATTTCTATGACACATAATTATGCTTATAGGTAATGGTGGAAGAAGAACTCAGATGTTTCACTTAGCCTAGGTAAAAATAGCAATACTGCAGTATTAAAAATATTCTGTTACAAGTGAAAATCCTGCATTCAAAATATTACTTAAGTAAAAGTGCAAAAGCATTCAAATCAAAATATTCTTAAAGTACCAAGTAAAAGTACTCATAATACAGAATGGTCCTTTTTGACATAATAATGGCCTATATTATATCACTTTACTATGATTATTGATGCATTAATGTGTAAATTACTTTTATGTTGCATCCAGTAAAGGTGGGGGTAATTTTATTTGCTTCATGTAGCCTACTGCTGTTGGGTGTTTTAATCCATAATAATACATTATAATTTATCAGTTGATTTATATTTTGTATTAATAATCTGAATCTGCAAAAACGACAGCTATCATATAAATTCAGAGCCGTAAAATGTACAATATTGCTTAACAAAATGCAGTTAAATAGAAGTATAAAGTAACATCACTTTGAAATATGTATGTAAAGTACAAGTACCTAAAATTTGTACTTACATGCAGTACTTGAGTAAATGTAGGCCTACTTAGTTACATTCCACTACTGTGCAAAGGCTTGCTGGAAACCTTTGCATCATCGCTTCCAGCTTCATCTGGACCAGCTCCAGAAAGCCTGAGTTCCAGGTTCATGTTCAGGGTTTGTTAAACCTGCTCTCTGGAGCTGGCTGCTGCTCTGTCTGCTTTGATTTGAAATATCCTGAGAAATTTTAAAACATTTTTTCTCCAATAGCTGCATATTAGAGTTTAAATGCTTGGTTGAGCCACTGATTCATAGGTTAATCAGTTGACATGAAAGATAATCAGAAACTATTTTGCTGAGTAATTTCCAAGCACTGCTTTAAAGGAAGAAAGCCTCTATAGCTTAAATATTTTCTTTGTCATGTATTAAACTGACTGGACTGTAGGATAAAACAAGCAATTTGAATACAACCTGGACTCGGGGGATTTTTACCATTCTCTGCCAATTTCTAGAAAAAATAATTAATGGATTCATAAGAAAATTACTGGCAGATTTATTGACAATGAAAATAATCATTAGCACGGCAAAGCCTAGAGATTGTTTTCCCACTTCAGTCATCAATTATTTTACTTGAAGGCCACATTGGCCTATATCCGGTATTGCTCTGGTAATCTCAGGCTGACTTGACTCAATTGACAGCCTCCCTCTTCCGTATGCCTCATGGCTCGCCCATCGACTACAGTTTGATATAACTGCAGACAGCATTTCCCAAGATGCATTGCCACTTGGCTGGAATGCGCTCACAGCAGTGATAGAGCAGTAGTTTGATGGTGATAGTTTATGACAAAATACGACAACTTTTTCCAGAAGGATCTAACTGCAGACCTCACTCCCTACAGTCAGGGACCCTGCACTCCTCCCCTCGGCCCTCATACCTCTGGCCCCGGCATTAAAGGCTGCAGCTGAACCCTGTTTATCCAGAGCGTCAACACTCATAGAACAATAGCTTATCTGATGATAACCGTAGTGATGGTTTTATGCTGGCTATCAGTCTGACAGGCCCGGACAGGTCTGTGTAGCTTCTACTGAATGGCTTCTGGCAAATAATTACAAAGTTATGACACAGGGGATTTTGTTTGAACTGGTTGCATGAATGACTGACATTGTACTTAAAGTATGTACACCCCTTAGAGGACAGGAAAATTCAAAATAGGATATTTTCTTTGTGCAGCCCATTTCTCCAAGACATAACTGAACTCAATATAACATTTTCTCATACTTCTTCATAATTCAGCTCCTGAGAAATAGCCTTCGTCTTGTCTCAGCCCGATCTGAATTCAGCTTGAGATAATAGTCAGATCAAAGAGAAAAAGAAACAAAACCCTTGATACTCTGTAGCTGAGAACCCTTCCAGAAGCCTAGCACAGCAAAAGAACTCCCGCTGAGTTATTCTTTTGCTCCTTATCTCTTCTAAGGGGGAGAAAAACAGATCAGAACTGAGTTATTTACTTCCCATGAGATGAGGAAAAGCAAAACTTTAAGTCCAATCAAGTCATCACTGGTAGAGTTTTAAAGGTTATCAGCACATTGTTCCACTGACCATGAGAGTTTATAGCTGCTGCCGCCGCTGCTGCAGGGCCCCTGTTCCAATAGCTTGTTTCACTGAGTTATCTGCAGCTTTGCTGATTAAATCACAGGCTCCTGTCAAATCTGGCACATGGAAACTATGTAAAAACATCACTTTTCTCAGCGAGGCAACTCAATTTCGAAACACTCTTTGCATAGAGACGAAGACCACCAGATTCATGGTGAAAAGGTGGGGGCTAATTTTCTGTTTTCATTTGGATCATTGTGCTTTAGAGGTTCCCAATTAGTAGAGCATATCTACATCTTAAACTTGCTATCTGTTATCCCGCTGTGTGAGTGGCACAGGGGCTGGTCTTTAAACACCAAATATGGATGCTTATAGCAGACAGGTTGTTTTGAGGTGAAACCAACTCAGACATGAGTCAAAAGTTCCAAGTTGGGCCGGAACTTTCTTCCCCTCCTCTCGCGCTCCAGGCGGGAGGTGGAGCCAGGCTGAGCAGAGCACGCCCCTTCTGATGGAGCGACCGGGCTCCCAGTCATCAAGTCAGTCAGTGAAGTTTATGTTCCAGAGGAGATAACCTGTAAAGGTCAGATGAAACTTTGATGATCCCCGCGGAAGCATTGGATAATACCAACCATGGCGAGGTCAAAGGCGAGAGTGTACACTTGTTGCGCACTGATGCTGCTCTGCGTGGTTGCAGTCATTGTGTGTATAGCTGTGCTCGTGAGGCGCAAGTGTCCAGGTGACACTTTCTCAAGCGCTGCAGTGGCCGCAGACTCTGGGAGGTGTTCGCAGATTGCACGGTGAGTGGCACTTTACACTTCTGTTATGATGGCAACACAAACATTTCCATTTGTCCTGGTCAGTTAGGCGCCTATGAGGAGCGGCATTACGCACAGCGCGCACTGGCTATCTTGATGAGGAGTAACTAAAACTATCTGCTAACTATATTCTATTCATACTATATTAAAGGCTTAAAGACCTCAGTAGCAATGTGACAACTTCAATTCTCAGAAATATGCCTGGCTGAACCAAATGTAAGACCATATATAGACTAACATGCTTTCCATAACACCAGTCTATGCAAAACACAGACACGCCATTTGCTTACCTGGCAGGTTGGCTATATGAGGCATAACGGAAATAGCATAGCATTGTGAGTGATGACTGTAAAATCTTTCAGAGACATACTTCAGAAAGGAGGCTCAGCGGTAGATGGCGCCATTGCTGCGCTGCTGTGCACCTCCGTCATCAACCCGCAGAGTATGGGCCTCGGAGGGGGGTCCATATTCACAGTGATGGACAGCTCTGGTAACAGCCACATTCATTCAGCCCTATAATAAATACAGCAGAAGTAACCAGTGTTACTCAGTGGAGACAAATGGTATTATCTCCTCTTTTTAAAGGCAAAGTGAAAATCATCAACTCCAGAGAGACTGTACCAGGGAAGTTTAAATCTGACCTGCTCAAGTCATGTCCCAAGACCTTCCAGTTTATGTCAGGTACTGCTCTGACATTTCACACCATCACAGACCTGCAAGTTTATTTTCCTGATTCTTTTGTTGGGAGCATTTCTTGTTTTTCTTGCTCAGACTGTTGTTGTGACAGGTATTAGGTTACTAGGTCTCTGCATTGTAATGCAAGAGGGAGCAGGGGGAAGCCCAGATATTCTGCTCCTTTTGAGAAATTCAGTGTGGTTCACATCTGGGGAACTTTTAGTTACCACATAAGGGCACACAGTTAAAATATTTATGGCAGGTCTAGGGCTGAATGTGCTGTCAGTCCTTTCTTGGACATGCAAATGTCTTTGTTTTTTGCTTCCTATGCAGTTGAGTGTGGTTGTATACATATTTGGGGCCCAACAGACCTGACATAGGAACTGGCCACCAGCTGAGCTCTCAGCCAAGACCCCACACACAGTGGAACAGGAGGCCTTCACTAGCCATTAATCATGATGCGACATGTTCTTGTAAGCCTGTATAAGAAGATAGGAAAGAACGATAAAGAACTGATACTATGAGAACATTATTAGGCAGCAGCAACCTTTGTTTACTGTGTAGCATTAAGCTATAAAACAATATTGTTTTACAAATGGATAACATTTGTATGGAGGAGCGTCCACAAATACATTTCTGTTAGACATTTAAAAGATGTGAATCACTATCATTCCAATATTTCGGATTTTCCCTACCTCAGGGGTGTCAGAAGTTCCCTGATTCTTAACTCAAGTATCTTAAGTAAATGTTCTGCATTCAAATCCTACTTAAGTAAACGTACAGAAGTATTATTAGTAAAAACTGCTTAAAGTGTGACAGCAACAATGCTAAAATTGTCTCTGTTAGTCGTAAGTGCTATATTGTAGGCAACTGGACTTGCTTGCATTTCTTGATCCCTCCCCAGACGACTTCACACCCATTCACCCCTGGTCCCACCTGATCCTAACGACTCACATGGTGGCCAGGTGGGTCAACGACTCACATTGTGACCTTAACGACTCTGAAACTAAGAGCTCACGCGACCCCTACGACTCTGCAAGGGTTCCCACCCACACAGCGTTTATAGCCTCCAACTTGTACCAGTCATTTAGAACTGAGGAAGCTTCTTGGATGAGAGGCGAAACGTCTTCAAGAAATGCAAGCAAGTCCAGTTGCCTACGATACAGCACTTACGATTAACATGACCTGGATGACTGAGAATCTTCACTGACAAGTCTCTGTTGGTGTATTTCTTGTTATATTACATTATTATGTTAAAAAGACAGTTCACCCCTAAATTAAAAACACATATATTACCTCTACCTGTGATGCTTTGTCAGTCTAGATTGTTTTGGTGTGAGTCACCGAGCGTTGAAAATATTGGCTGTAGAGATGTCTGCCTTAAATATATAATGGAACTAGTTGGTACTCGGTTTGTGGTGCTCAAAGTGCCTAAAGATACATAGAAAAAACAAAACAAAAAAACTCAACAGCAATGTCTCTCTCCAGAAATCATGATCTGGTTACACAGAATAACCCACAGACCTTGTTGGACAAACTTTTTTGTTTCTATCGAACTTTCTCTGCCAATCGTATCACCACGCAGAAAGAAGAGAACATCTACTCATGGACAAGAGGCTCATGTTTGTGACAACACAGGATGTAAACATTAATGGAGTCCTCTTTGGCTTAGCTGCAACGTTAGCTAGCTCAGTGGTGCGCAGTGAGCCAGCAGAAGATGCACGCTTCCTCCTGCACTGTGGTACGGTTGGTTGGTGTAGTTTGGTAGAAAGAAAATAGTTCCCAAATGAAACTGCTCACAACAAAGTCTGTGGATTATCTTGAGTAACTTGGTCATGATTGATGGAAAGAGACATTGCTGTCTAGTTAAGAAAAAAAAAAGTAGGGGTGGTATATACAGTCACTTTATTAGGTACACCTTGCTGGTATCAAATTGGACCCCCTTTTGCCTTCAGAACTGACTTAATTCTTCATAGCACAGATTCAACAAGGTGCTGGAAACATTCCTCAGAGATTTTCATCCATGTTGACATGATAGAATCACACAGTTGCTGGAGATTTGTCGGCTGCACGTCCGTGATACGAATCTCTCGTTCTACCGCATCCCAAAGGTGCTCTGTTAGATTGAGATCTGGTGATTGTGGAGGCCATTGGAGTACAGTGAACTCATTTTCATGTTCAAGAAACCAGTTTGAGATGATTTGAGCTTTGTGACATGGTGTTACATCACCCGGTGAGGTCTTCTGCTGCTGTAGCCCATCTGCTTCAAGGTTCAACATGTTGTTGGTTCAGAGATGGTCTTCTGTATACCTTTTATGTAATGAGTGGTTATTTGAGTTACTGTTGCCTTTCTATCATCTTGAACCAGTCTGGCCATTCTCCTCTGACCTCTGGCATCAACAAGACATTTTCACCCAGAGAACTGCTGCTCACTGGATATTTTCTCTTTCGCGCACCATCCTCTATAAACCCTAGAGATGGTTGTTTGTGAAAATCCCAGTAGATCCGCAGTTTCTGAAACACTCAGACCAGCCCGTCTGGCACCAACAACCATGCCATGTTCAAAGTCACATAAATCATCTTTCCTTGAGTTGCTGCTATGTGATTGGCTTAGCTATTTGCGTTAACGAGCAGTTGCACAGACAACTATGTTTTCATTAGTTATTAATCACCTGAAACTAAGAATCATTGTGTTTTCATTACCTTAGATTGAGCTGTTTATATGTACATATGGAGCAGGTCCTCTTTCACAGAGTCCGCCATGTTGTTCTAGTTGCCCAGAATGGACAAACCAAACACTGGCTTTGGGTAGGGCGGTTTTCATTTTCTTGTCGACCATTGTAATTCTCCCACTCCTTTGCACACGTGAAGTTTCAGTTAGTTGCAATTTGCAACCTCACCACTAGATGCCAATAAATCCTACATGAGACCTTTAGATGGATATAGTAAATTAGTATTACATCAGTTAATGACAAGCACCTCAAAATGGTACTTAAGCACAGAACTTGAGTAAATGTACATATTTATTTTCCTATCCATCCATCCATCCATCCATCCATCCATCCAGGTAGCCAGTGGATCGGGGTCCCAGGGGAAGTTCAGGGTTATGAAGTGGCACACAAGCTTTATGGGAAGTTAAAGTGGGCCACCCTCTTCGAGCCGACCATCAAACTGGCCAGAGGAGGATTTCCTGTTCCACAGGTCCAGGGTCGATACATCCCGTTCACTGATTCAAACATGACTCAGCCACTACGGTATGAAAGCCACCCAAACGGGACTCAAAAATGTGATAAACACACAATGAATATCTCACCTTTCTACATTTAAGTGATATTCTCTTTCTTTGTATTTGTCCTTCAGAAAGTTGTTTTCAGATAAGAATGGCAACTTGCTGAAGGCTGGTGATATTATTAAGTTTGAGAAACTGGCTGACACTTTGGAGACGATTGCAAAACATGGGCCGGGTGCTTTTTACACTGGAAGAATAGCAGAGGATTTAATCCGTGACATACAGGAGGCAGGTATTGTCAGACGGGTTTCATCATGCTCTCCTTTTTCAGCCATTTTCCATCTCTGCCACGATGGCACAATGATTTAATTACAAAAGAACAAATCAATTGGGTTTGTAAAGCACTGCAGTGATCACTCACAGACTCCAGTGTGAGCTGCCTGGATCCATTAAATGTCTTGATTATGTGGAGCTAACATGTACTTTGTTCAGTTCTGCTTAGCAGAGCCACTTGTTTCAATGTTTTTGTTCAGGAGGAACACTTACGGCACAGGACTTGGCATCGTATAATGTTACAGTGACTGATGCGTGGGCTTTTCCTTTGGGAGAGTACCAGATGTACATACCCCCACCCCCTGCAGGAGGCATCATCCTCAGCTTCATCCTTAACGTCATGAAAGGTTCCTGCCGCACACAGACTGCAGAGCTGCGGTTCACCCACACTTTGAAACCATATAATGAAGCTTGTTAGCTGTGTTCATGTGTTGAAAAGAAAAATGCCAAATGAATACTTTCCTTGGTTGTTGCTTACGAGTTATTTACCTAAATGAGGAGACTGAATGATGGTGTGAATATGAGTGTTTCATGTGAGGGAGAATCAAAGATACTGCAGTGGAATCCACTGGGAAAAGTAAACACTTGCTTTTATTTACAGGATATAACTTGAATCCAGCATCTCTGGTAGGACAACAAAAGACACTGGCCTATCACCGCCTTGTTGAAGCTTTTAAGTTTGCCAATGGATTAAAGAAACACATTCGAGATCCACGCTTCAGCTCAGAGGAAGTAAGTTATTTTTAAATAGTTAGGTCTATTTATGGCTTATAACCAGTGGTGCAAGAAGTATTTAGATTCTTCACTTAAGTAAAAGTAGCAATGCCTCAGTTTAGCAATTAAGTATTACTGTTTTGGAAAAAAGAAAGTTGCACTCTAACAGTGTGATTCCCAGAGTGCCGAACAGATAGGCATAGATTTCAGGGGGGACACAGGAAACACGCCCCCCTCAACAATTAGAACATGTGCCTTTGTCCGCCCAAATAAAAACATAAAAGTAGCTTTGACAAAATTAAGGACATTTACGCCATACATTGATATGGAAAAGACACAATTTGCTGTATAAGAAAAATCACCAGAATGCAGGATATTAAGTGTTACATGTGCAAAATTTTCTGGCAGAGAACCCCCAAACCCAGTGTTTCAGAAGCATTATCAGGTAAATCTATGTAAAATATAAAAAGTAAATTTGATTGTTTTGCAGAATAGCTGCAGCTAGTCAATATAAAGCTGACTTTAACTACTTTATTTACTGTGAGAAGGTTTAATTTACAACAAAAGCACAATATTTTATTTGTTGACCGCATGTTTTTTGGAGTAAAAACCAAAATCTGCAAAGTAACAAGTAACTCAAGCTGTCAGATTATGAAGTACAATATTTCCCTCTGAAAAGTGGTGTAGTAGAAGTATAAAGTCACATAAAATGAGAAAAGGAAAGTATGAACACATTAAATTGTACTTAAATAACTTACTGGAGTTAATGTACTTAGCAACTGTCCATCATTTCTCATAATGGTCTCAGAACTGCTCAGTGTTTAATCCGCAGGCCTCCCAACCACTTTTAGGCCTATGTTTAAATCAACTGGTCGCGCTGTCAATCAGCTTATCAATGTTCCCCATGAGTACTCCAGTCTTGGGTTATTATGGTGATCTATTAAACACATGCATGAGGTTTGGTTGCATGCCACTGTCCAAAAGTGACGGAGGGTACAGGCTCTCTGTTAGGTCAGTGACAGCGTTTGACTTGAGCATAAGAAACTTTAAGCAAAGATTAGTTGTTGCATTTGATTAGATTTTTGACTGTGTTATTAGTTATGATGCTGTTAGCTAAGTACATGTCATTTAGCAGTTTAACTACCATTTGCAGCAGACCTAGTTGGGTGGCAGTTAAACTACATTCAAATCTAAATAGCATTTTTTTTGTCATACAATATGGCACAATGCCACAGCTCATTGGCAATGGTTGTCATTTAATGACAGTCACCTGCAATTTGACTAAAATAACCTCTGGTTTGCAACCAAAATGTCTGCGATCAAATACTGTGTGTTTCTGTAGAATTTAAGCATTTTCCTGATTCCACTCGAACAATTGCTCCCTATCCTCTCATCCTCGGGCTGCCTAGGCCAGGATTGGCCTGCCCTGGTTTCTAAATCAAACACACCTACACTTCACTTAGTGTCAGTTCAGTTGTGGCTCTGTGAAGTACCTTGTAATTTGGTGAACTATAGTTTTAATGTAGTTTCCCCAAGAACCTCAAAAATGACTCTGTTTAGTTGGACTCCTGTTCTGTAAAGTGTTGTCATGTTTAACACATTTAGATGTCTAATAAATGCATTTTGTAACAGGATGTTTGTAGGCATAAATCTTGACTCCAGCTATTTATATCAGATATTTTTTTGTTTTCATATGAGCGTAGTTATTCTGAAAAGTAGAAGGTGCAATGTTTGATACAGGTAAAATATTTAAAAGGCAGATAAATAGATGTTAGGCAAAAACAGGGACTGGAAGGGTTAAAAATGGACTGCAGCTCCCTTTCAAATGTAGTTCTGACAGGTTTTTTTTCTTGTTCACTCTGCAAAACAACCAGAAGCCTGAAATATGATCATAACTTCACCTTTGAAGCAAGTGTTTTTTGTTATGTGTCTGTGTGTCTGACTGCTCTGTATCTCTCACAGATGGCCAGGAAATTCACAGAGGATAGCTTTGCCAAGCACATACAGAGCTTGATCAGCAGCGACAAGACTCACGATCCCCAGTATTACAACATCACCCCGTATCTGGACAGCATGGGCACCACGCATGTGTCTGTGCTGGCTGAGGATGGCTCTGCTGTGTCTGTCACCAGCACCATCAACCACATGTCAGTATTTGAAGGAGTTCTGTTTCACAGAGAGAAATCTGCCATCGAGCATTACTGTTGGTTTGAATGTGGAGGAGTAAGAAGATTTAAGAGATTAAGGAATGAGTGTTTTTGTAAAAGGAATTTGAAAATAAATCTCTCTTTTGTAAGACTCCAGTCATCACAGTCCAAAGGCTTTCTGGAACAGCACAGTTAGAGAAAGCTCAGTTTTTTTTGTAGTGCATCTGTGTTGCAATTTCCCTTCATGTCAACATCCAGCTCATTTAATTTGTTTTCTTCACAGATTTGGCTCTAAGGTCGTCTCTCCTAGGACTGGAGTCATCCTCAACAACCAGCTGTACGATTTCTGTGGAAGAGTCGATAACATCTTTCCTGGTAATCACATCAGCATGATGTATTTTGCACTGTCATTTAAATACAAGTCATACAGGTTTGTTTCTGTTTTCAGAAACAAGTAGCTCACTGTCATATGCTTGCATACAACCATAGATGTAGATTTCCTTTTGTTTTTGGGAGGTAGAGATCTGTGTGGATAATTCAGCTCCTGGTAAAAGCATCCCGAACAATGAGCACTGAAGGAGGAGGAGGAGGAGTTTCAGCTGGTTGCAATCCTTGACACTAGATGTCACTAAATCCCCCTAAATCTCACACACTGCTCCTTTAAGTTATAACCTGCCTCTCTGTTCAATAACATTTTTAAGTAAATAATATTCATTTCCATCAGCCTCAGCTGGTCTTTTGTACTTTACTGTGATAATAAGCAAATGTAAGCATGCTGACATGCTCAACTCAGATAATGAATAGATAACAATGTACCTGCTAAACATTAGCATATTAGCATCATTGTGAGTGTATTAGCTTGCTGATGTTAGGGTTCAGCTCAAAACACGCTTTACCAAAGTACAGGCACACAGAGCTGCTAGCATGCGGACTCTTGGCCCTTTAATATGAACCTAGAACTGCAGAAAAATAGACCCTTTGTTTAACAAAGAGAGTTTCTCCTTTGTCAGATGCCAGCTGCTGAACAAAGGTAAAGGGCTGAATAAATGCCCTCCGTCCTCTATGCACGCCTGTGATTCACATCATTCAAACACACTCCACTGATTGCATTTATAATAATTTCCTTCTTGTTCCTCTCACATTGATGAGTCTGTATTGAAGCCGTCTGTCCTGTCAGTCAAGGCTTTTGTTGTGTTGTCAGGGGAGCAGCCTCCATCCTCCATGGCCCCCGCTGTGCTCAAGTCTCAGTCGAAGACGCTGGTGATTGGATCGACTGGTGGGAGCATGATCACGACTGGGATCATCTCGGTATGTGTCTGGGGCAATCACACTAAGTGCCATTAAGATAAATTGCTGCGGACTAATGCCCCTCACTGTTGTCACAGCAAGCACTGTCCTCATGAGCGTCTTCACCATGTCCATAATCCATTCTGCACTCATCACTTTCCCATTTGGCAGATTGCAATGTATTGTTCTGTTTTCTCTCCCAGGCACTCATGAATCACCTTTGGTTTGGAAAAAGCCTCAAGGAGGCGATTGCTGCTCCGGTTGTTTTTGTCGACTCTCAAAATGCAGTGAAGTTTGAGCCCGGCTTTGATAAGGTGATACACACTAAATACACTAATTTACTAAAATAACTCATAATATTTGCTCCATCTGAGTCTCCCCTCCTCTTTGCCCTTCAGAATGTAATCGAGGCTCTGAAGGCTCTGGGGCACAAACATGAAAGTGCAAAATATTTCTTCAACGTGGTCAATGCTGTGGAGAAGAAGGACGGCTGCATCTGTGCTGTGTCTGATGCCAGGAAACTGGGCGAAGCAGCTGGTTACTGAGACTGCGAGCTGCTGATATTGGTTATTCAGGAGGGCCTGAAGGTTACAGAGACCTTTCACAGCCACAAAACCACAAAGGCTTCAACAGATGGTGTTAAATCATTGAACAAGTCACTGAACAACAGGCCTCTTCAGCTGAACACACAGTCTAACATGTAGCAGTTAAACACGTGGCATCTGAACAGAACGGACTGTAATGGTGACACTATGGATTTTACTGTGAAAGAAGAAACAACTGTGACTGTATCTGACCCCAGTGACTCCTCTGTTCGGCTTGTTTGGACAAATCTGTAGCAATTTATTGTTACTTTTTGAATCTTTCTCTTGTAAGACCATTTTTTACATCATACAAATGACTTGATAGTGCATTCATGTTATTATCTGAGACATAAAATATATAACAGGCTTTTTTTTATTAAGTTATTACTTGTTCATAGCTGGTATTTCTATTATTCACACTCTTAGTACCAAAGTTATTCTGTCACCTCCATTATATGCTGTATGCTGTAGCAATGTTTATGGAATATGCAGTGAATTAAATATGGATATTATGTATAATATTCAAATAAATATATTTTTTTTAACATGTTTCATGCTACAGTGCAAGGGCGTAGGGTTAGTTTCAACACTGATACACTTTATGCATTCTGGTGAATTTTTTATGCACCGATTTATGCCTTTTTGGCTTCAATTTTTGGTGAAAATGTATTTAAATTTGTCAAAAATAAAAGTTCTTGGCTACTTTTGTGTCTTTATATGGTTCTATCTATGAAATCAGTGATCACTGTGTTTAAACATCCAAAAACACCCGACAAATCTGTATGTCAGGCTGCAGATTCCCTGTAAGAAATGTGTTAACTGCCCTTACGATGCATGCCCTTGAACGTAAGGGCAGTTAACACATTTCCCTGCAAGAAATGTGTTAACTGCCCTTACGTTGAAGGGCATGCATCACAAATTTGCTTAAGCCATTTTGTTTTTTGAAATATTACTTGAAAACATTTTGTAGAAATGCATAAATGTCATAATCGGTGCCATTTTTAAACGGCATTTACTGAGATCAACTCAATAGTACCTAGAAAATTGCACAAAATGGAGTTTTTACAATAAAGGTCACAGACAGGTGCAAAAATAAAATCGCACAAGAGTTAAATACACAAATAGCTCAAACAAAGTATAAAAGGACAGAAATCAATAAACCCTGGTGGCAATCTATGACAACAACAAATAACAGCAGGTGCTTTCTTTGGATGTGGCAAAGTGGCCCTCAGCCGCCTGTTCAAAATGGGGTCACTGCTACTGAAATCTGTAAATCCATCCCTTTGTGCCATAACACATTCTGAACAAGCTGCGTGACTTGTCTGTGCCGTTTTTCATAAATTATTTTTCAAATTTGTGCCGGAGCATGCAGCAGCTGGAGCACGATTATCAGATCAAATAGTGAGTCATACAAACAGGAGGGCAGTTTCCTGGGAGAAAGTTTGTGAAGAAATATGATGCACTTGAAGTCTCTGCTCAGAGACCTACATTGAATATGGTTTCATTTCACACAGTAAAGTCATATATATTTTGCTCTTTTACTCTAAATGGAGGGGAGGGGGAGATGAACCTTGAGGGTAAAAGGTAAGATAATGAGATCCTGGTGATTTTTAGGGGGTGGGCTCTGTTGCCCTGTCACATGGTATTTGGACCTCAGGGGGTGTGACAGTCACACTGTGCCCTGACCTTATAGGAGCCACCTGTTGCAAATGCCACATTACCATGTCTGGCAGCAGAAACAAAAGGTTGCCAGGAGAGGATCATGGGTAGGGCCTCATGCGATGACCACCCTGCCTTTCCCTGGCAAGCAGCGGCAGCTCAGGCGTTTCCCTGACAGCACACAGCAACACAGATGATCCGCTGGCTCAGAAACAAGCACAGTGTTTCCAGCGACCAATCCCAAACAGCACAGTCCGAGCCGATTTCTTTTATTGCCCTATTTGCGGACTAATCTGCATAAATAAATCCTGTTTATTTCTGTCAGCAGCTGCACGTTCTGCCTGTGGCCCAGACGTTGCAACAGTTCCTTTTATTGTGGAGATCTTCAAAATAAAACACATGCAGACACACCTTTAATTGAGATTGGTTCTTTTATTGGCAGTCAGTGTTTGGCATGAGACAAGTACACACAAGGCTACAAGGAAGAGTTTGAAGTTGAGACAATAAACATAAACTACGAACCGAGTGGACATTGCTCTCCATCATTCAAATAACACATTCGACATGAAAGGGGTCCGCTCTGACTGTAATTTACATTTGCTGAACTGTTCCCTGTTTTACTGTGTCATCCAGTCAGCCGCGTCCCTTTTTTGTTTATTGTTCAGGCTTACAGCAGGAGGTCACTGCGCTCAGTTTCATAATTAGAGTCATTGTTATAATTACAGAGTCGGACAAAAGACGGAACACCAACACAAATAATTACAGCAGTAATCAGACATTTTACTGTTACAAACACATAGAACACACACTTAAACATTTATTATATATCTGGTGGTGCAGGTATGTTTTTCAGTGATCCCTCTAACAATCGTGAGCCATTTGGTCATCGTTTTACCGTAAAGAGGTATGCGTTCAGCTTTGTATATATCCCCTGTTATAAACAATGTACACAGATTATATGCTATGGAGAAACAGAAATATAAAAAAAACAGTAGTCCCCTTTAAAGTGCTTTCAGTCAGTCTTACTTAATCATTATGTGCTACTGTAGACAGACTCTAACCAATAGGTAACAGTCATGGCTGTGTCTCATAACAAACACAGGGCCACTGAAGGACTGTATCAATAAATGGAAAAGACAACATATTTGTAGAGACAAACGGCAGTAGGACGGGCAGTTTGGGCACTGCTCAGACTCGGTGGCCCACATTAACACTTGGCTGCGGTGTCATATATGCACTGAAACACTGTGGTGATGACTACAGCAGCTCAATAATCACAAAGAGGTGAATATCAGCATTTAGGCAAGTACAAAAAAACAATCAGTAACAGCTACCCATTGTTGAGTCCTACCTGTTGTCTTCTAAGATTGCTTTGTTCACCAAAAGTGCACAAAAATAGCCCATGGAAACACAAGAGAACCATGTTTTGTGTCCTCATTTACATCTACACAAGGGCTGCGTGGGTATTCACAAGTGGACATTTGGAAAGGGGGGGAAAACGCAAAAAGTCTTGACCTAGCAGTTTTGCCGGCGTCACGTGACGGGTCGTCGGCTGTATAGTCTGTTGAACTTGTGTCATAGCTTTTGTTGAGAGATTAACAGAGAACACACAATGTGGAGCTAGGCCCTGCCTGCCAGAGATAGTCCCAGTCCTGGTGGAGAACCCAGAGGGACCCTCTGTTTCCAAACTAACTCGACTTCAGCTACCGCCGGGATGCTGCTCCTCCATCCAACCAACTGATCTAAATCTCCTTGGGATTGGCTCCTCAGCTGCCACTATCAGAGAGAGAGAGAGATAGAGTGATAGAGGGAGAGAGAGAAAGACAGAGAGAGAGAGCACCGGTTCATTAACTCTTCCAGCCCCCCTCCAATGAAACCGCACCTCGTTCCCAAGAGCGCCATCCACCAACACAGTAAGTCCGCCGTCATGACCGTCGCTTCACTGTCATCTTGTGTGGGTTAACTCAGAGATGGTTAGGAATAGCTTGGTAGCCGTGTCGGGAAGAGAGGTTCACAATGTGGGCACTGGTCTCCCCCGTGCCTCAGAGGGTGACTAGGCTCGTGGTGTGAGGGCGAGAGGGCGAAGGAGGTAACAGAGTGCTGTGGGACGTTTCAACCACAGTTGAAAGAGCCTCAGAGGGGAAAGACCCCATCACCTCTCACAGTAGTGAAGGGTGAAGTCTTTGGAAAGCTGCTTCTCGCCCAAACTCCACGGCTCCAGCTCGAATTTGTTCCCCATGTCGTCCTCATCGTCCTCCCCCTCTTCCTCATCCTCCTCTTCCTCCTCGTAGTGGCTGGGCTCCTCGATGGAAGTCTCCAGGTGATAGCAGTAGGGCTGACCCTCCGTGTACTCGTAGATAGTTGGTAAGCTGCTCTTCAGGCTGCAGCGCCGACGCAACGCGACCAGCAGCGGCTGAGGCATGGTAAATATATCCACGTTGTTGCCCAGGTCAATCCAGGCCAGGTTGGAGAACATCTTGGGGTCTTTGAGCATCTCAGTGAGGTCTTTGAGTATTGCCAGGGTGAGGCGGTTACCGTTGAGAGCCAGGGTGCTGAGTTTGGGCAGCGAGGCAAGAAGAGGCAGGAGAATCTTCAGGTTCTCGTCATGGAGTTCGGTGAAGCTGATGTCCACAGCCACCACGCTGTCTCTGTTGTTCTGGAGGTAGAAGGCGACTTGACGGACATCACGGGTGGACAGGGGGATGCCGGACAGGTCGACAGAGTCACTGGACAGCTTTTTCTGTAGAGTTGTCTTGAGACTGTTGAAGACAATAAAGACAAAGTGGATTTACTTAGATGTCTCATGAAACACACACACACACACACACACCAGTTTAGGTTTCAGCTGGAAGGTGAAAGGATGGTACTTGGGAACAAGGCCCTGGTTTTATGTTGTGTTTCCTGTGTTGTATAAAGGAGGGGGTGACTGGGCCGGCATGGAGCGGAAGGCTGACACAGAGACTCCAGCATGGGGATTTAGTAGTGTAAACAGAGGAGCCAAAACATCCGAGCGAGCCAGCAGCTTGAGCTTAAAGCTCTGACGGCCAGGAGCTCCTTACAGCACAGGGCCAGAACAGATTACTACTTAAAAGATAAACTATGGTGTGTTTTAGGAAAAGATAAAACTTTGAATAGAAGATATCTGGCCACTATATTTATAAGACAGGAAGAAGATTAATATTTTGAGTATGATTTGTTACAATGATGTTATTATCTCCTCCAAAGACGTCACATTTTCTCTCATGCTTCTTTTTTAGTAAGCGAGATGTCTCCAAAACCTGTGGACAGATCTTCTTGACATTTGGTAAAAAGTTAAGAGAAAGTTGTTAGGCTTGAGTGGATCTCAAGTGCAAATCCAAGAATTATTACTTAGTTGGGGCATTTTTGAACAGTTTCACTATTTTTTCATGAACTACTTGAGTGAAATAATTTGTCCATGACTGCTGGTAACACTTTAATATCAGGCTACAAAACATATGCTTACATAATCCATGATAATCATCATTAGTAAATGACCTAATCACTATGACTTTATGTGATTAGTGAGCTGGAATCCAGTTACATGATTAGCCTCTCTGAAAGCAAAAGGGATGGAACGTTCATTTTTAAAAGATTTACTGCTTTAATTGAAAGAAGTGGAGTGTAGTAAGGTAGACAGTGGTGCACTAAAACCAAAAACATTCAGCAGGTGCCAGATAATTGGACAGACATATTTAAGTCAAATGTTTAATGAAGTGAAAAAGAAAAACTGGAATCAGATTAGGGCTTGTCGGCATTACTTATGATAGTTTCTGTTAGTGAGTGGGTCATGCAGCACCATGCAGATGTTTGCATCTGTCTACCAGTTTGATATTTTTATAAGAATAAGTCCTGCTTTCAGAGAGTCTTATCAACTGCATGGGTCTGAGATGAGCTTTTCTATGCGACTGTATTCCAGCTAATTCTGAGGCATATGAATGAATGAATGATTTAAAGGTATATGATGCAGAATTGTAGGTTAGTGTTTGTGAACATGCTTGCCAGCAAAAGTGAATGCCAAACCAAGATTCACTCTTGTTTTGAAACAAGCTTTGTCCGCTTAGTATTTCGCCACTATAAGTTTTTACAAAAGTCCTGACCTCACCTGCGATGTTTGACCAGGAACGTCCCAAACACAGCAAAATAAGAGGAAAACAAGAAAAGCCAGGCAGAGGGGAGAATCTCTGCAGAAAAACACACTGCCACACACCTCTAGTGGGTCATAAGTGATGATTCAGAGGGCTTACTTTTGTATGAGCCTATACTTTGTTGTTTTGTTTGTTTTGTTTTTGTTTTGTTTACTTTTAAAAGTCAATAACTGATGATCCAGTCACTCATTGTGACGTCTTCTTTTGTTAACGTCATCATCATGACTCATGCATTGGTGAAATATTAGTTAAGCGTATGTTTTGTTATTAAAAGGTGTTACCTTGTAGTTTATCAGTGTGAATATTAATTAATAAAATAACACAATTAGTGGATTGTGTAACTGTGGCTGAGGTGTGCGCTCTCTGGCAGCTTTCTAGTTTGTATACATAGTCTGCATACATAAGACTACACAGAGGAGTCACAAGTTAATCTAGTGATTTTTAGGTGTTTGACACAGTATATTGAGGTGATTTATAAAGTGGATGACACTTACTTAAGGAGACATTATTAAATTTGTGAGTCGGGAGTAATATGTGCAGGATATCTGTGTGTTTCGGTGCATGAACTCACAGCACAAGCCTCTGAAAATCTTAAAGCCCTTTCAGGATATTGTTTAGTACAAGCAGGATTTGAGGCCAGATGTTAAAACAAAGGATACTTTTCTGCAGCATTGCTTTACACTGCAGCTGAAAATATTTGTGCATTATTGCCCTTTTGTTTCCAGTCAGTCTCATTCACCAGTGCCCCCCCTCCCCCGAGGATGCGGTGTGTTTTACTTGAGCCGTTACTGAAGTGGCCTGTAACGCTGATTCGGTGTCAGAGCGAATTACAACATCCTCCAGCGCCCGGTGACTTACTGTGACACCCACTGCAGTACCTGTCACTTGTCATGCTTTAAAGTGTTTTTTAGTCCCCGCTGAAAATGGATGTGCCCTGAGTGGCATTTACTGCTTTATTTCATAAGCAGGTGATGGGTTGATGAGCACTGGAGTGTTTGTATTATCTGCAAAACATACACACACACACACACACACACACACACACACAAAAAAAGTATGAAACCCACTCATAAAGCAAGGCTAGAGGGAGTTTAATCAGCTGTTGGGCACAAAATCTATGAGATAAAGACATTTATCAAGGCTGTTGTATCTTTATCAAAGTCTTGTCCTCCCTTCCTCTATTGTCTGGCCTTTTATAAGACAGAACCCTCATCTTCACCAGAGGCACAAAAGTCCTAATGGCCGTGGCCTGGCGGAGACTGCCCTGCAGGTGTGAAAAGGTTTTTGATCACACAACTCCTTCCTTGTCAGACAGATTCATCCCTTTTGAGCTCCACCAGAAAACAAGGGTGTCACGGATAACCTCCAGCAGACGTCTTTTTGGCGTCTTTACATTCACAGGAACACTAACAGCAGGGTTCAATTTAAATGGCTGAACTAGGTAAGCGATTAAAAGAGAGTAAGTTATTCAAAGGTGTGGTGGTCTCAACTGTAAATCGAATCACACTCAATATAATTGTTAGAAGATGTCCTAAGCAAAAAGTATAGACAAAATAATCCCTCAGTGCATCACATGAACTGTTGAACTGAAGCCAGCAATAAAACTAACGGCAACATTTAGTAACAGTGGATGATACCAATATACATGCACAATCAAGTAATCTAATAAATATCCATCCATTATTCAGTAACTCGTCAATTAAATTAACATGGTATAATGACCTATTAAGTATTCTCCCTTCAACAGTGAGGAAGCACAGTGTGTCTTTTGCCTCCATGTGTGGCTCATCAGTCTCTGTGTGTTATTGATTTAGTATAATGAGGCAGCATTTGAATTCAGTCAGTGTAAATGGCATTGCTCTTGTTTGACCAACACATCAAACAAGTCACTACAACAGCCTTCTTTCACCTTAAAAACATTTCTCGCCTCCGCCCCTCACTCTCTCGCAATGCTGCTGAAGCCCTGATCCACGCCTTCATTACATCCCGCCTTGACTACTGCAATAGCATCCTTTATGGCACAACCTCCAAACTCCTCAATAAACTCCAATATATCCAAAACTCTGCCGCCCGCCTCCTCACTCACACCCGCTCCCGCGACCACATCACCCCTGTCCTTCAGAACCTCCACTGGCTCCCTGTTCCACAACGCATCTACTTCAAACTCCTCCTACTCACCCATAAAGCTCTCCACAACCAGGCCCCCTCTTACCTCACAGACTTGCTCCACCCTTACACCCCTTCCTGCAGCCTCCGCTCTTCCAGTGCCAACCTTCTCACCGTCCCCAAGACCAAACACAGAACCTGGGGGGACAGAGCCTTCTCCGTTGCTGCCCTCACCCTCTGGAACTCCCTCCCAAAACACATCCGTGACTGCACTGACCTCCTATCATTCAAATCACTACTCAAAACTCACCTGTTCCGTTCTGCTTTTAATGTTTAGCTACTTTTATTCATTTACTTATTTACTTGTTTTTTCACTCCCATTACTATTCCTCTTTGTCTTCGATGTCTTTGCTGAAAATTTATTTGATGTGTTTGAACTGTCTCTGTAAAGTGACACTGAGAACTTTGAAAAGCGCTTTTTAAATAAAATGTATTATTATTATTATTATTCATCAACGTAAATCTTCGGGTTATCTGACGCTAATTGAGATGACTTGAAATGTTATTCAGAAAAATAAGAAAATAATGCTTTTTTAAACAGTTAAATTGCACATGCTAACAAGTGGGTGGGTAATCACAGC